GGCTGAGGTGGGAGAACCGTTTGAGCCCAGGAGGCGGAGGTTGCAGTGAGCCAAGATCACGCCATTGCACTCCAGCCTGGGTGCTAGAGAGAGACCCTGTCTCAAACAAAACAAAACAAAACAAAAAAACACATTATAATGAAGCCATCTTCAACAATTATTATCTTATTTAATCTATATCCCTCATCCACTTCCCCCCAGCCCCAACTGGAATGTTTTAAAGCAAATCCCAGACATGCTCTTTTTTCCATAAAAACTTCAGTACCAAAGTGCCTTATACTTTTTTCATAACTAAAAGTACATGATGATTGTAGAAAATTTGGAATACGAAGAAATCACATATGAAGGAGAAAACGAAAAATCACTCATAACCTCACCACCCAGAGACTACCACATTTTGTAGTAGTTTATTATCTTTTTCTACATACATATTGGTTTTTGACAAAAGTGGGATCATACTGTATATGTTATTTTTAGGTACATTTTGTTTTAATTGTAAAAATAATAAAAGCAGATTACAGAAAATAGAGAGAAAATTACCCATAATTCCTTACCACCTAATATAAAAACTGTTGATTTTTTAGTATACTTCTTTCTCATTTTTTCAATTTACATTCATACTCTTAACCCAAGTGGGATCTTACTGATTATGAACTTTTTAAATTATGAAGCTGTTTTAATTGTAAGAAAGTAATATAATCACATTGCAGAAAAATGAAGAAAAGTAAAAGAAAAATATTATCCATAATCTCACCACTCAATTATAATCACTATTAACAATTTTTGGTGTTAACATTGATTATAATTGAGTGGTGAGATTATAGATATTTTTTCTATGCACATATATTTTTTAAGTGGGAATACAATGTTTATGATGTTTATTAACTATAAACTCATATTTACTCCTTCAAAGGGCTAAACTGGTAGCAAAGAAAAAAAGAAGAAGAAAAAATTCATATTTACTTATAAGATAATATTGCATAATATGGGGAAAATATTAAAAAATCACTTAAATCCTACCACTCTACCGGCACTGTTATCATTTTAGTATTTGCCTGACCATTGCTTTCTGTACCTATTCATACACAGTTGGAAACATAGTGAGTATTTAATTTTGTTCCCTTTGTGCCCTTTGCAGCTTGGCATCATATTTATGCAACTTTGTACCCAGCATTTTAAATTCCTTGTTTTGTTATGAATAGTTTCCTATGAATAAGAGTTTTCAAAATCAGATTTTTTTTTTTATTGTCAAGGTACCAAGGGGCACTTCCATAGACATTTAGGCCTCATTTCATTTTTCACTATTATAAACAATTCTGCTGTAAATATTCTTGAATAAAAACTTGTGCTTTTTTTTTCTTATTGTTTTTTCTTTTTTTGTGATGGAGCCTCACTCTGTCGCCATACTGGAGTGCAGCGGCGCGATCTCGGCTCACTGCAACCTTCGCATCCCTAGTTCAAGCGATTCTCCTGCCTCAGCTTCCCCAGTGGCTGGGACTACAGGCACCTGCCACCACGCCAGCCTAATTTTTGTATTTTTTAAAAAATAGAAATGGGGTTTCACCATGTTGCCCAGGATCTCCTGACCTCATGATCCACCTGCCTCGGCCTCCCAAAGGGCTGGGATTACAGGCAAGAGCCACCGTGCCCAGTAACTTTTTAAGTTTTTTCTACACACATATTGAGTATATGTTTCTGGAGACCACTCTGTAAGTTTATAGGCTGACCTGTAAAAAGTGGTCACCTTTTTTTGGTCCCAAATTTACTCCTGTCATATGGCTTCAGGCAGTCCTTGATTTTGGAGGGTGGGATTTTAAGAAGAAATCTGCATTTTTTTTCTCTCTCTCTCCTTCCTGAGTTTATAGACCTCCTTCATCCCCTCTCAATCTGGTTTTTAAATTAATCAGTCAGCAAGTATTACTGAACCTGAAGTGTGTGAACTGAGGCAGGGATGGGAGGGAAAAGGAAAATAATCAGAAGGCCCAGTACAAATAACAGCATTTATTGGCCATTTACTACACTGCGGGCACCAACCAGGCTAAGCAACCCGCACAAAGTAGGTACCATTGTTATCCCCATTTAACAGATGGGAAAACTGAAGCCCAAAACATGAAGCCAGTGGTCTAAGGCCTCGCTGCTAACAAATGGCAAAGTAGGAATTTAAACCCAGGCCTACTGACCCCTGAGCCTGCACTCAGACAGCCTCCTTACCCTCCCAGGAGGCGGGAATTAGGACTGAGGGTAAAAACTTTGCAGCCGGCCCGACCCGGATTCAAACACCCAGCCACGTGGCTTTGTGAATTTGGGCAGTTCTCCGAGGCTCTGTTTCATCCTTGGTAAACCCTACCTCAAAGGGCTGTACTGGGAATTAAATGACATGATGGATGGGGAACATGTCAGGCCCAGTGCTGGCGCACAGAGGTTCTCGGTGGGTGACCATCCCTGTCCTCTCCCCGCTTCGCAAGCTCGCTGTCTAGTTGCTAAGTTGAAGATAAGAGTTTAGCGGAGAGCTCTGAGCTCTTTTGGAGCCGACGGGGAAGTCGGTGATCAGAGCATTTTTGCCAAGAAATACAAAAGTCTCCTTTGCTCCCTCTCATCCTCTTCAATTAACCTCCTCTCCCATCTCCCCAAAAAGCACAGGGGTAGCTTTTGTGCTCCAAAGCTTGAAGCCTCTCTCTTTCCTGCTCCCCAGAACAAGCAGTGGAGACGACAGAAGGTCACCAGTGGGGAGGCCCTTACTGGCAAGTGGGCACTGAGAAATGTGGCGGAGGGCGCTCCTTTTTCTGCCCTTCAATGGTCCGGTTGGGGGAGGGGGCTGACTGTTGAGCAACTGCTCCGGAGACACTCCAGAAGCCGAGATGAACACATGCCTCTTTCTAACAATTGGCCTGGGAGCCATCCAATAGATGGAGGGCGGATCCACACCTCTCGGATCCGGAGCCTGCAGCGGAGACGCTGCTGCTGTTGTCAGACCCACTCCCGAGCCACGCCAGGACTGACCCGGAGGGTAGGTCAGTGGTTCAAAATACTAACGCGCTATTCGAAAGGCTAGAGTCGCTCATCCTCCACCACTTAGTTTTCGCAGAAAAAAAAATTTTTTTCATCCCAGGCAAACACCAAGAGGACTTGAAGGTGTATTTCACACGAGGTTTGCAGTAAGGCTTTAGGGAGCCAACAGGTCCCGTCTTTTATCAGATGGAGACTAGGCAGGGCCCACAATCTTGTAAGCAAAGTGAAAAAGTGCAGCGAAGATGTGTGTGGTGTGGCTGCTACCGGGGTTTGTGTTGGGACAGGATAGGTGAAAAGACTGGGGCCCTGCAAGGCAACTTTAGGGGCTGGGGAATGGGTTTACCTAGTGACCAAGGCACTCGTCCAAGCTTCCTCCAGATGTCGAGGAAGGGCCTTGATCCGTCTCTCCGTTTGCTTCCCATCTTTGTGTCTGTAAGCCGGTCAGTCCGTCAACAAACAGAACTTTGTTAGAAGAGCAAACGCAGGGCACTTGGAGCTACTGAAAAATGAAAAAGAAAAGAAAAAAGAGACCTACAGGTATTCCGATCCAATTAAGAAGACAAAACACATACATAGGGAAAATGACTTCGTGACATTCCCTCTCCCACTCCCCCCACCGCTTTTTTTTTTTTTTTTTTTAACTTCAGGACCTTTTCTTAAAGAGCAGGTTTTATAAACAGTGTAAACTGAGTAGTTGTTGCTGAAAGGCAGCAGAAAAAGTGCAGCGGTGGCGAGGGGGCGGTAATAGAGAGGTAATCCTGATGACCTTCCCGTAAGAGGTAAGGTGGGAATTTCTTGGCCACAGAGAACACGAATTGAGATGAGGGAGAAGACTCAGACCTCTTTCCAGTAAGGATTTGTAAGACAACATCTCTATCCAAGAAAGACAAACTCCAAATGCAAAATGTTGTTCTTGCTAGACGCGAATGATTATATAATCATAATAAAGGAACCTGGCATCGTAGGAAGGCAGAAGGAATCTCCGCGAACTCTGGGGCAAACCCTTCGTACCCCGTTACCGGCTGTTGGTTTTTCAGTGAGCCTCGTGAGCTGCACCTAGCCCCATGGTCCGGGAGAGTAGCATTTCTCCGAGTCGCATCTTGCCAGCTTCCTGCTCTGGAAGACCACAGAACAGAAACCCTCCAACCCAACCCCAGCTCAGGACTTCCAGGAGAGCCACCACTGCCATATAGGCCCTCCATGCGACTCTGCGCCGAATCTGGTAACTTTAAGACGAAAAGGAACCCCCAGCCTCAGCTGTTAAACGAATGAGATAGTACAGCCCCCCACCCCCCACCAAAAGGCAGACAGGCTCCAAGAAAGCCCCGCAGAAAACTAATGACCATGCCCCGTCCCGTATGCCTTAGACCTCTATTCCAAGTCACTCCTTGAGCCCACAGCTCTCTCCCAAAACCCCTGAAGCCCGCTTTGGCTTCCCGCTAGATTTAGGTCAGAAAACAGACACTAACGGCTCTCCTTTGGCTCAGTGAAATTACTAAGTGGAATTTATTGGGCAAGTCCACGCAGGTCGGTGGGGAGAGCCGGTGTCCCGGGCCCTGGCCCCCGACAGCTTTAGAAGCCGGGCACCGGCCAGGGCTCTGGCGAGGGGTGCCCACAGCCCGGACTCCCCAGCCCCAACCCGGGAGCCGTGGCCGTTCCACAGGGCTGCAGGACCCGCGGGGCCGCGTGGACTCCGTTCCCCAGCCGGCCCTTCGCTTTCACACGATCCGTGGTGACTGCACCAGCTCGAGCGCCTTTAAAGGGCCACACACGCCAGCCGCTGCTATAAAAATGTTCCCAGCGGCACAGCTGCAGAAAGGGCACCGCTGAGCTGCTGAGAGGAAGCTCGCCCTGCCCGGCTGCCCTCCTGTAGCCTGCCGGCGAGGGGCAGTTCCCGGTGAGGACGGAGAAAGAACAGGACTGCACAACACCCGCGCGGGCCCTCCGTGAGTATCCAGTTCAGATTTTGCCACCAACTCGCCCAAGAGCCAGGACATGTGCTAATAATGCCCTAAGCCGGTTATAAAGACGTGGAAATTGGGGGGAGAAAAAAAAAGGGGGGAAAAGGGTCTGTCCTTCCTGGGATTCCTAGCCAAGGCCAGTCTGCTGCCGTGTGCGTGTGCGTCAGGGCTCTCCGGGCTGCAATGGGGGCTTGAGAGCCGGGTCCCCAGCGCCGGGAAGGGAGCGCAGTGGCCGTCACCGCCACCGCCCCGGAGTCCGGCGCCGAAGCCGCGGGCGGGCGGGAGGGCACCGGCTAAGGCCGGAGCTGCTTGGCGCGGCACTGTGCGGTGCAGCGGCGGCGCGGCGCGGTGCGGGCTTTTCTCAGGCGCCCCGGGGTCGGGTGGCCACCGGCGCGGCCGCGGGCGCTGAGCGCGACGGTGGCGGTGGCGGCGGCGTGCGTGCCAGGGGCTGGGGGCTCCGCCGCCTCTTCTGCGGCTCACCGAGCTCCGCGCTTCCCTCTCTCCAGGGCAGGCGGCTTCTCAGAGGTAAGCCGGGCCGCCGGGCTGGGCGGCGGGGCCGAGGACTCCGGTGTAGCGGGTGTGGGTAGCTGTGTGGGGAGCGGGTGGCCGCCAGGCGGGCCGGAGGGTTCTGGGGAGACTTGTTTTCTGTTGGAAAGCTGCTCTGCTGGGGGCGAGGGGCCGACGCTGCCGCCCGCCAGCCAGCGCGCCGGTTCGCTCGCCAGAGCGCCCGCCTGCCGGCCAGCCGGGCCGGGCGCCCGCTTCTCCCGGGGAGACGGCAGAACCTTTTCTCCCCGCGCCCGCGCTTTCTCCAGCTTGGCTTCCACCGACTTTCCTAATCGCCCGGACCGCATCTGGAAGCTCCGGCTCCGGAGCTGCACAAAGCTCAGGTTTCCTTCGGGGAATGGAGGCAAAAGGGGCTTTTCGGGCCGAGTTCAGCGTTAATTGCGGGATGGAAGTTAGCGAATTTGGGCAACTTGCCTCTGCTGCCCAGTCGACCTCAGCTCTCCCCTCCCCCGACACACGCCCACACACACACACCCACGCGCACACCCCTCTCCCTATAAACGCGGGCTGCCGAGCTGCGCGCCGAGTCCCTGCCTCGCAGAGCTCCGGACTTGGAGTCAGAGAGACCTGGCTGCGAATCCCGGCTCCGCCACTTTCTAGCGCTGTGACCTTGGGCAAGTTACTGCACCTCTCCGAGCCTCTCTCACTCTTCTCGTAGCGGGGTTTTAGCACTGACCGCAGGCGGCTTGGCTAGCGAGTAGGCTCAGCCTGCGGCCGTGTCGGATGCTCAGCAGGCGCTAAGTGTTGATGAGGCGCGGGAGTGGCTGCCGCCGGCGCCGGAGTGCGCCCCCGCTAGCGGAAACGCAGCGGGCCCTCGGACTCGCCGAGGCCGACACCCTGAGCCCCTTCCCACCTGTCCATCCTGTCTCTTCGATCAGTTCCTGATCCAGCACTTGCGGGAACGGACGCTCAGTGCCCCGGTGGCCTGGGTGCTCGCGCCCGCTGTGCAGGGATGCTCCCGGCTGACCCCGGTTCCGCGGTTCCATCTGGGATGCGGCGAGGAGGGCAGCCGAGCTGTCCGCAAACAACCGGCCTTTAGTTTTCAGGTGGCGAAACTGACTGGTCTGGTTAGAACGCGTCCAAGCCAAGCCGCAGTGCTGTTTGGATTTTTAAATTTCTCCTTCTGAGTGAGAAAATAGCAATCGAGATGGAACCATCCGGTTGGTGCCATTTTAACTTTTGGTCCCCCAACAGGTTAAAGATGAGGCCCCCACCTGCCTCTCCCTTCTGGTTTTCCTCTCCCCTTCCCACCCCTGTCTAGGCGGGAGGGGGCTGCCTGCCCAAGGGAACACCTGAAGCGAAGAGCGGGCGGCGGGACTGGGAACTGGTGGCTGGGGGGCCGCGAGGCACCAGCAGGCGGGGAGGCACTTGTTGCTCTAGGTTTCCCAGCCGCCTCTCGCAGCCCGTTTCGCAGTGGTCAGCTCCCGGCTTGGAGAGCAGGCTGGGACATTTCCACGTTGCCAAGTTTTGCCCTCGAATGGACTAGAGGTTGGTGAAGGAGGACAGAAAACCGGGGAAGCAGAGCCAGGGATGCCGATCGAAATGCGATTGCCTCTTCAGACGCATTCAACAACTTACTGAGCGCCTATGAAGCACAGACTCAGGCTGGGGGTCAGGGTGGGTGGTGGGTCAGTAATGGAAGGCTAAAGATCTGAATGGACGCAGGGTCTCTTCTGGGGGAGCTCCCAGCCTGAAGGGGGAGGAGATGCGGTAAAATGGTCTTCTCCCAAGAACTGATAGCAGAATAGAGATAGTTTTTCCTCGTTCTTTTTCTTTTCCTAGTGTTTCTCTTTTGGTTTTGCTGTTGTTGCTGCTACTCCTGTTGTTTTTTATTCCTTTTGTACATTCGGGTACCAAGCGGCATAAAGGAGAGGAAAGGCTGGATAGGATCGGGAAAAGATGGACAGGGCCCCCAGACGTTTTTCTTAGGACAGGAAAATTGCCTGATGCTGATGGTACTAGGGCTGTTGAAGACGACATGTGTTAGACTTCTTGTCTGGTGATCACTCGCTTTTGAAATATTTTTCTAAGGTTGCCTCAGAGAAGGAGCAGGGCTTCAATCAAGCAATGACGCGGGACCCAGCAGCTGATATATTTTCCTCATGTTTTAAAAAAATGTTTACCCGTTTCTCTATTTTTTTCTCCCTCCGGCCCCCATCCACCCAAGTAAGCAATGCAAAGACGATACGGAGAGATAGTAAGTGGCCACTTTCTAGAAGTGTCTGAGCAGATTCTTAATAACCACTGGGGGGTGGAGAGTGTCATGGAGAATTCTAGCCTCCTTGGAAAGATTAGAGACTCTTTTTAAGGTCCTCAAGATTCTTTCAACCAAGAGGTATTTATAAATATGAAATTCTGCATCTCTAATTGATCATGAAGGCTAGAATATATGGGGCTTTAAAAGAGAGAGACACAGAGAGAGAGAGAACCCCATTATGTTGCCCAGGCTAGCATCAAACTCCGAGGCTCAAGTGATCCTCCCACTTCAGCTTCCTGAGTGACGGAGACTACGGGAGGGTGCTACTGTGCCTGGCTATGGGACATTTTTTCTTATTTGTAAACAAGTGTCAAGGAAAATAAGTTGAGATTTTCAGAGGTTTGTTTATTTTCTGGTTTGGGGGGTATTCTTTTGCTCTTGTTCCCTTATGCTTTGGCACTTGAGCCAGGGAATCACTTCTTTAGAGGCCATTTGAATCCAGCTAGGTATGATTACCTAGCCAGTGGTCAGATGAGCCATATGGGCATAGGGGTGCTAGATCCTGCTCCCAGAACTGCTGCTACTTGACTAAAAATGCCATTGAATCTCTGTGCCTCACTTGTCACTATAGATGGGAATGGCTGGGCTCAGGTTTCTGTGGCAGGCATCCTAGGAAAGCCCAATGCTGGGGCTGTCTTGGAGGGGGCTTGAGACATGGAGGAAAATGAGACATTCCTAGCTTCTCTCTGGCTCCAGCTGCCTCAGAGCCCCCAGACCACCCTGATCAGCCTGGCTTCTCACAGGCATGCCCAAGGCTATGCTTTGGAGCTTCATGACATTTGCACTGGGGACTTGTTCCTTCCCTGTGCTGCAACCTCTAGCTTTCTAGGTCTTCCTTGCTCTGACTTCTTCCCACATTCTCCCAGTCCCAGTGGAGGCCCCAACTCTCCAGCCCAGATGCTAGTAGCCCATTAAGACAATATGTTGCTTACTCAAGGCCATTTCTGTCCTCCAAACCAGTAACAATGCCACCCTCACCCCCACACATACAACTTGGGACTGTGAAGTCCCTCGCATGAGGAAGCAGGGTGTCCCATCTTGGTGATATGGGTAGGTGGCTGCCTGGGCACCTGGCCAAATCAAGCACTTTTCCTACCTCAGGCAAAAGTTCCAGCTTGGTCTACCTCCCTGTGCTCAGGTGATCTCTGGTTTTGGCTGTAACCCGGTCACCATCCTTGCCTTGTAGCTGCGTGGCATTGCCCTGCTTCGGGCTTTGCTAGTACCTTGTTGGTCAGTGAATCCTTTTGCCCTTACCACCACTTCTTCCTCCCTTGCAGCACAAGAGCTCCAGCTGGCAGCATCATCTTCTGACAATTTATCCAACTTCTGCCAAGACTCTGAAATGCCAACAACTTCGAGGCCTGCACTTGATGTCAAGGGTGGCACCTCACCTGTGAAGGAGGTAATTTTTGCCATTTTACAGATAAGGCAGGGAAAGACAAATTTTCTAGGGTCATGGGCCAGGCCCTCCTAGGTGTGTTACCCAGTGTCCTTGAGCAGAGAGGAGACAACAGGGCTATCTCTGGGGAGAATGAGAACAGCTTCTGCCTAAATGTGGTTGGATTGTATCCACTAGGGGTATTGAAAGATGGCAGGAAAGGGAGCAGATAAATCGAACTGGAGCAAAACCACTCTGTTGAAGAGATTAAAGTGAGGCTGAGAAGAGGGACAAAAGGTGCCATTTTTAGGATGGTGAGGTGGAGGCTATGGGGAAGGAGCTGAAAGCAGTGAACCGCTTATGATGTCAGGTGCTCCAGGACTAGAACTGGGGTCTGGCCTCAGTACTCAGAGCCATGGCAGCAAAAGCATGCTTGATCTGGGACCCTAATTTTCAAGGCGGTCCTCTTGCTACCTCTTCACCTCTAGCCCCAAATGAAGTGCAGGTAGGAGCCTTCTAAATCTGCTGAATGGCGAAGGACAAGCCAGGAGCAGGGTTACTGTGGTGTGCTTTTCTCTGTCTTCTAGGAAGCCAACCAAGAGATGAGCGCCATGGCCTACTCTAACCTTGCGGTGAAAGATCGCAAAGCAGTGGCCATTCTGCACTACCCTGGGGTAGCCTCAAATGGAAGCAAGGCCAGTGGGGCTCCCACTAGTCCCTCGGGATCGCCAGTAGGCTCTCCTCCTGCCACCCCTCCCGCTAAATCCCCATCCTTCAACCTGAACCCTGCCCCTCACTTGCTGGCCAGTATGCAGCTGCAGAAACTTAATAGCCAGTATCATGGGATGGCCGCCGCCACTCCGGGCCAACCCGGGGAGGCAGGGCCCCTGCAGAACTGGGACTTGGGGGCTCAGGCAGCGGGAGGGGCGGGATCACTCTCTCCTTCTGCTGGTGCCCAGAGCCCTGCTATCATCGATTCGGACCCAGTGGATGAGGAGGTGCTGATGTCGCTGGTGGTGGAACTGGGGTTGGACCGAGCCAATGAGCTTCCGGAGCTGTGGCTGGGGCAGAATGAGTTTGACTTCACTTCGGACTTTCCATCTAGCTGCTGATCCCAAATGTCCCTAAAGATGGAGGAATAAAGCCACCAATTCTGTTGTAAATAAAAATAAAGTTACTTGCAAAGAGACAGGCCAACTAGAGGTGTTCTTCATTGAGACCTAATGATGTATAGTATGGTCTGATGTCCTTTTAGCAATTCTGAGGCTCATGGTGGGGTTGCGGGTGGCTAGCTGGGAAGGAGCTGGATGGGATGGGAGGAGGAGGGAGGGTGAAGGGGGCTGTTCACTGAATTCCTGCTGCCAGCGCCACTGTGGCTATCTCCTCGGGAATACCTGGTCTCATTGATCTAAGACTCCAGGAACACCATGGCATACAGGGGCTGGTTGGGGACATTATTGGAAGAGAGACTGATCAGACCCTTTTGCAGCCTCCTTGCCACATGCACATCCAAGTCTAAAGACACATCCCTGGCCACATGGTACACACTTCACCAACTCTAAAAGCCACCCGCACCTAATCTCTAGCTTCAGTCCAATCGACCCATTAAGGCCATTCCTTTGCCCTCCTGCCCATGTGCAATAGACGGATAGGGCCGAAGAAGGATCCTATGATCTGGGAGCTCAGATTTCTCTGGAAAATGGCAAAAGCAACAGATTCCCATCATTAAACTGTGATTCAGGGTGCCTTCTTCTCCAAGCCCCTCACAAAGCTGCTCAGACCTCCCAGCCTGGGACACTCTGAGCTGGTTTTGAGTGTCCCTAACTCCTACCTTCCTGATCCACCCACTTGTTTGAGCTGGCCTTTCCATCTTAGAGATACAGATCAGGACTAGGCTTGACAAGTTCAACATTCAGTGATCTATCCTTTCCCTCTCGATTAACTGCTGAGGAAGCAATGGCTTCAGAAGCGTGCCAAGTGACAAGGCACTGGCACTGCACTGGATCATGGCCTTGTGATACAATGATAAAGTCTTGTCCTCGTGTTCACATAACCCAATGTCCTGGACACTCTGTCCACGTTTCATACTCCCAGACGGCCTTCTTCCTTGAATGCTGGAAACGACTCTAATCAGCCTTTCAGGCCTAGCATCAGGCCTGCTCCCTAGCAAGCACTTTCAAAAGAACATGCTAGCAGGGGCATTTGTTGGATTCGGCACTCCCTGAGCACCTGCTCTAGGCCAGGCACTTTGCTAGACACTGGGAGCATGAATTAAATGAAGTTTACCTTTGAGGGAGTTCCCCATCTCAGAAGGAAAGACAAGCACAAACAAATGATAATAAAACAGCATTTCCTAGAACACAGGAGGAAGGTGCTATTTGGTCTCAGAAAAGGAAACAGCTCCATCTGCCTGGGAAGTCTAGAGAAGGCTCCTTGTATTGAACTGGTTTGTTTGTTTTCATATTTCACAGGTAATAAATACATGATCCAATCTTCCTGTAAAAAGTAGAAGCTTTGCAGATAAGGCTAAAGTACCCTTTGACCAAATCTCTCCCTCAATCCCGATGGCCTCCGGTTCTCCACAGAGGTAGCAATTGATTATCTGTGGTGCATCCTTGCTGGCCTTGCTCTCTGTCCTTACATAAATGTATATGCACCGATAGAAAGAGTTGGCCTTTGAAATAAGACTTGAGTCAGCCAAGGGAAGAATGAGTAAGGGGAACAGCTGTTACACAGGTGCAGGTGCATGAGAGGGGCAACAGTAGCTGAAAACCAGGAGTTCAGCATGCAGGATGTCACAGGGCTGGTGAAGGGGACGGGACCTGATGACGTTAGAGAAGTTCACAAAAGGCAGAGTCCATAGGGCCATCAGGAAACATGCCTTCGCCTTCATGCCAGCAGTCCTGTGGCTCTGGAAGAATCTCTGGAGGTTTGTAGGAAAGCAAATAATTAACCAATTTTTAACATCCCATTTTTAAGATGATTTCAATAAAGGTGGATGGTCAGATTCATCTAAGGCTGGGAACAGGGAGACATGAGGTTTTGAGGGGGCTGAGGAGGCAGGGGTGGGAAAACAGAGAGGGAAGAAAGGAAGCCTGAAACACGGTGGGGAGGGCAGAGCAGGCTCGAGGACCCAGGGTCTGTGAGGAGAACACAGGAACTGGATTGGGGGAACTAGGAAGGGAGAGGAAGGAGGGACCTGAGCTCCCAGGTCATAGGATCTTTCTTTGGCCCTATCTATCTATTGCACATGGACAAGACTGGGGGAGCTAGGAAGGGAGGGGAAGAAGGTTCTCAGAATCTGCACAGCTCCTAGCAACACAAGGGCAGTGCAGACACAGGCATAGGGGCTGAAGCAGAATGACAGGATGTGGAAGGAGCTGAAAGCTGAAAGGCTGGAGGGTCCTGGGGTCTCTCCCTTGCTGAGGCCTTCAAAAAACACAATTCTAGCCAAACTAAATAGGTCAGCAGGCTGCGTGCAGTGCCTGGTCCTTAGCTTGCCACCCCTGATCTCTATGAGTATAAGCTCTGGAACTCCCAGGATGGCAGTAGCTCTTCAGTGGAGAGAAGCTTGAGCCAGGGGCCAGTGCCTTCAGGATGGGATGTGCTGTTTTGGAATCATGGGGGTGACAGGAGTGCAGCTGGGAGGCAGGTGGCGGTGAGGAATGGTCTGAGCATCTTTAGTATATTAATCAAAGTCTCCAAAGAAACAGAAAAAAATAGGATAGAGACCTGCAGATATATATGAGTTGGCTCACAAAATTATGGAGGCCGAGAAGTCCCACAGTCTGCTGTCTGCAAGCTGAAGAACCAGGCAAGCCAGTGGTGTAATTCATCGGAGTCTGAAGGCCTGAAAAGGTGGAGGATAGTGATAGTGTAAGCCAGACGTCCCCAAACTTTTTACACAGGGGGCCAGGTCACTGTCCCTCAGACCGTTGGAGGGCCGCCACATACTGTGCTCCTCTCACTGACCACCAATGAAAGAGGTGCCCCTTCCTGAAGTGCGGCGGGGGGCCAGATAAATGGCCTCAGGGGGCCGCATGGGCCGTAGTTTGGGGACGCCTGGTGTAAGCCTCGGTCTGAGTCTGAAGGCTTGAGAACCAGGCACGCAGAGGTACAACAACAGGAGAAGATGATGTCCCAGATTAGACAGAAACAAATTCACCCTTCTTCTGTCTTTTTGTTCTACTTGGGCCCTCAACAGATCAGATGATGCCTGCTCACATTGCTGAGGGCAATCTTCTGACCTCAGTCTACCCATTCGTCTGCTTATCTCTTCTGGAAACACCCTCTCAGACACACACAGAAATAATATATGACCAGCAATCAATATACTTATCCCAGTCGAATTGACATATAAAATTACCCATCAAACCTAGAGAAGGTGCTTCCGAATGAGGAGGGAGAGCAGGAGCTTTGGCATGGGGCCAGTGGCCAGAAATGTGGCCAACTGAGCAGCCTCCTCTCCAGACAACTTGGAGGGAGAAGGCACGGGACATACCGAAGGAAGAGCCAAGGCCCTGCACAGGGGCAGATGAGGAGGGCATGGGTCAGTAATTGTTTATTGCGGGAGAAGGAGAGGGAGTAAGGGAGCTCCACAAGGCACAGTGGAGGAAAGGCAGGCAAGTCTCAGTCCTTGTCATAGAGGTCATGTTCAGACCTCTAGGGGCACAACCAGACACATTCATTCATTAGGTTTCCAGAAGATTCCTGAAGCCAACTCCAAGTCCTGGCCTGGGATAGGCCCTGGGGGCTAGGAGGCAAGGTACCCAGATGTACACAAGTAAATAACACTGTCAATCTGCGAGGAGCTTGCTGCTCAGCACAGGGCTAGGAGGCAAGGGTCCCAGATGCACACAAGTAAAGAACACTGTCTACCCTCAAGGAGCTTGCTGCTCAGAACAAATGTGTAGCCAAGAGTACCTCGTAGAGCCCAGAAGCAGTGCTGCTCCCTAGGGACAAACTAGGGAGAACCCCGTTCCTGCTCTGAGGAACTCATCATTCAGTGGTGGAGATAGCCACAGCCTTGAAGGATGAATTGTATTTTCATAAAGCAGCAATGCCGGTGGGGGCTTGAGGGGGTTTAATGGCCTCCAGGCTGAGGGGGCAATTGGAGCAGAAATCAAAAGATAAAATCAGGGCTTGATGTAAACCAGAACAAAATGTTAGAAAGCCCAAGGTTTTCTCAAGGAAGTCCCACATTCCACAAATAAGGATTGAGCACCTACTATGTGCCGGGAACAATGCTAAGCACTGGGAATATGTGGTGAGCACACTGTCCTTGCTCTCATGAAACTTCAGGTTTAGCAAGGAGATAGCCAGTAGTCAAGTAATCATGCAGATAATTCAAATTACAAATCATGAAAAGTGATAGGAAAAAAAGGTACAGGGCACTGTGAAAGGGTATAATGGGGGTTTAATCTCAATTGCAGCATCAGAGAGGGTCTCTGAAGGTTTTAAATGAAGAAGAGTTGTGGTCAGAGCTTGCATGAGGAAAATTAATCAGGCAATAGTGTGCATGACAAATTGGAATTATGGTGATGCTAGAAAGCTGTGACAGTGGTCCAGGAAGAATAAAGAAGATGGGAAATTAGTTTATGATAAAACTGCAACATTTCAATGGAGAGTTGTTGTTTAATGGGTATAGAGTTTCAGTTCTGCAAGATGAAAGAGCTCTAGGAATCTGTTGCACGGCAACATGAATACACTTAACACTACTGAATTGTACACATAAAAATGGTTAAGATGGTAAATTTTATGTTGTGTTTGTAACCACAATTTAAAATTAAAACAAAACAAAACAAAACAAGAGTTAGCATTCCAAAGTAGTGAGGAAATGATGGATTATTCAATAAATGCTTTGGGACAACTGAATACACTAACCCAAACTTGCATCAAAATGAATTCCAGATAAGCCAAAGATTTAAAAATAAAAAATGAAACCATAAAAGTAATAGAAGAAAAAAATGAAGACTTTAAAAAGAAAATTTTGAAATAGGGAGGACATTCTAAGAATGATACAAAACCCAGAAGCTATGGAAGAGGCTGATATACTTAACTGCATTTAAAAAAAAAAAAAAAAAAAGGCCAGGCATGGTGGCTCACAACTGTAATCCCAGGCCAAGGTGAAAGGATTGCTTGAGCCTGGGAGTTCAAGGCCAATCTAAGCAACATAGAGAGATCCTGTCTCTACAAAA